AGAAAGATAATTGTCTCTTAAATGAGTTAACCACAACCTTATAAATCCCTATAGACAATTTAAAACAGCCATGGATAATTTTAAATGTAAAATGTATCAGTAAAGAGCTTTTACATAGGTAAAATTAAAAATTTTAATAAATCCAGTAAAACAAAAATAACAAATCTACAATATTACAAGGCTCAGATTTGAAGGCAATTTTTAAATAGTTATCCTATCTAATAAAAAGGGAATATGCTAATTGACCTTCACACCATCACAAAATGGCGGTGCCCACAGCCAATAAGAAAGGAATGTGCTGACTGCCCCACCCTCAAAGGTGGCAGCTTCCACAGCCAATAAGGAGGGAGTATGCTAACTGATTGCTCCACCCTCAAAGATGGCAGTGCCCACATTTCTTACAATATTTAATAAGGAGGGGATATGCTAATTGTTTGCCCTGCCCTCAAATATGGTGGCACCCACAAACACAAGATAGCAGTGCCCAGTCCCCTCAGCCCTGCCTCCGGAGTCCCCCAGTTCCCTCAGCCCCCCAGGGCTGGCCTGAGGCACAGGCAAGCCTTGGATGGCGGCTGCTCAGCCACCTAGGGCTGCCCAAGGCTCAGGTAACCAGGGCTGGCTGAGGCTTGCACAGCCAGCAGTGGCAGCAGTGAAGGTGTGATGGGGCATCACCTTCCCCTGACCACCAGTTTCACCTCCCACCCTTGAGGGCTCCCAGATGGTGAGAGGGGGCAGGCCCAGCTGAGGAATTTTTATGCACTGGACTTCTAGTTCTTTAATATTAACAATGCCTTAAAATTTTTGCCAGTGGTGATGTGCACACAGTAGGTGGTCAAAAAATGCTAATATGCAGAAGTGTTTATAATTAACAGCAATCCATAACCATTCATTTCTATGTTACAATAAATACATCATAGTAAAGATAAGAATGAGAAAGGACAGCTTTCTTACAATATTTAACACTTTCATGAAAAGATGAAATGTTTACATGATATAATTCTTCTTACAGTCAGAACTTTTATATTTGAAAAACAGTCTTAAACACATTATGCTTTTTTATTTAATAATTCAGATGACAAGTACTAAATAATTCATACACTATAACAAAAAAATGAAGAATATTTTTAAAAATTAAAATAAAACTTAAGGTTTCAATATTTTTGAGAAGATTTATAACAAAAATGGTCCCAGATCTCAAATAAGTAGACTTATTCATTTTTAGATTAATTGTAAATAGTGTATTTTGTTTGTTATAAATGACAATATATCTATTTAAAAAAAATAATATCAACCAGCCAGTATAACTGATTGAGTAGCAAACTATGAACAAGGAGGTTGAGGCTATGAACCAGGAAGTTGATGTTCAATGGTAATATAAACCCTTTTTTCATATGGAGGGAAGCTCCAGGAGGGCCAGACAACTTCACCTTGGCCGTGCTCACACTTGAGGAGTGGGCAGAAGCCTCAGAGGAGTTACTGCCACATGTGTGTGTGTGTCCCCCCCCCCCCCCCCCATTACAAAATGTTTATTTAGAAAGTCACAGAGGTAGAAAAGGTGAGCCAGCTAGGCTGCATGGGCTCAGGAAATAAGTTACAAAGGAAAAAAAAAAAAAAAAAAAAAAAAAAAAAAAAAAAAAAGGCCCTTGGAGCTCATGGGAGAGAAAAGCAAAGGTCATGTGCCTGGGGGAAAGAAAAAGGGAAGGGAAGGGCGGAGATGTGCTCCAGGCACAGCATGCCAGGGAAAGAAGGGGCAAAGGTGAGGGCATGCTCCAGAGGCAGAGAACTGTTTTCCAAAGGCAAGAATTCCAGGTGAGGTCTTAGGGGAGGGTCCCAATAGAATACTCATCAGCTTTATGCCAATGCACCACAATGAGATTTATTCTTCTGACTTCATCAGTCCTTAGGTGTGATTGGCACAAATGGCACTAACTGGATTTCTGTTATCTCTCTCCCTGAGTAGGGTGATTTGCTGAATCTTTCTTAACCTTGTCCACAGAGCACACAATAATCCCTCAATAGAGATCTGATTGATTTGTCATGTTAATAACAAAACTACAATATATGAGTCTATTCACCAAAATAGAAACTCAGTTTTATTTGTTTGAAGCGTAACCTGATATTTTGCCAAGTAAGTTTGCCAAGACAAAATGGAGTCATTTTATTGCTTAGAGTCGCTCCAAACTAGTTGGATCTTGTAAGTCATTTTGTGTTTTTTTTTCTGTGAATAATGGCTCCAGGTATCTCACTCTGTGCTGACTATATACTGATTACTGGAACAATCTGAGGGTTTTTTTTTTTTGTTTGTTTGTTTTGTTTTTTTGGTGTGTGTGGAATGAATGCGTATATATAAAACTGAGAATGTGAGTAGTCTCATTCTTGAAATAATTTTCATTTTTAGAAACCAGAGAAGATAAATAGGCAAGTAAATAGAGGAGGTTTGAAGGTATTTATCTTTATGAAATTTGGCCAGTGTAAAAGTTGGCTTCCCTTATAAGAAGCTTATGTTGGCAAGTTTTATCTTGTTTCCCACAAGAATTTCTGTGATGGGACTGATAATGGTTTCAGGTGTGGCTAGTACATTTTGGCCATGTTTCCATGGTAATAAAACTGACCTGAATTCTATTCAATAATCCTGCCTTTTTGTTCCCCTTGGAATACTACAAAAGCCAAAGGGGTAAGACAAAGTTCAGCTGTGTTTTGAGAATTTTAGAATTGATAAATACTTTTAACATGAACAAAATAAATAATAAGATAGTAATATACCCTCATAAGTTGTCTCTTTTTAATTTTTAAGAGAACAAGATTTAAATAGCTCATGTGCTCGAGAGCCCTGGAGTAGTTCCTAATGGACACTTTTAAACTTGTGTTTTTGAAGCAATTTATAGGATGCAGGAAAAGTGTTTCCTCTAGAATGCTATTCAGAATTACACTTTTATTTCCTAATTCCAGGTTTCTGAAAGTCCTTTTATTTACTTCCATTCCCCCCCCCCCCCCCCCCCCATATTTTCTAGTGAGGGAAAGAAGCAGTCTCATGAGAAGTTCATTTCTTACAGAGTTTAAAACATATATTAAACATTTGCATGGAGAAATAAGTCTTGGTTGGGATATATATGCCTGCACATTATATATATTCATAAGACTGTGGAAGGAGAAAGAGAACAGTTATGTCTGCAGTTCACCAAAAGATGAATTCATTTTTATCAGAAGTTTCTAGCTTTATAAAAAAATTACTTTAAGTTCCTATCTGGGAAAGCATCCCAGACATTTCAGCAAGAGTGAGCCAAATGTTTCTGAATTCATATGCCCTTGGTACACCTCAGCAAATTACTTACTTTCTTTTACCAAGCATATGCTTAATGTTCTTCCTGCATGCAATTATAACCTTTACTACTTAGAGTGAAAACTGTTAGAATGAGATATACTTTTCTAAAGTCAACTTTTCTTGAAGAAATCTTACTATTTGTTCATTTAATTACAATAATTAGTAATTATTGTTAGGAGCCATAGCCAAGTCCAAATATTAAAATCTGGGTACAAACCAAAAAAGCTTAAAGCCAAAATGAACTCTAAATTTGGTGCTCTTTCTTGGGCATCAAATGATGTAATGACTAGCAGGATAACTCCAGATATATCTAAATCAAAGTAACAATTTTCCTAATCCTTCTTGTGAAAATACCATTTCATGTAAATATAAATAATCATATATCAAAAGTAATTATATTTATAAATATCAAATACCAACGAGGTAAAAAGTACCAAACCAGAACTTGGTAGAGCACTATATATTCAAATAGGAAGTCCATGCCTGATGTCAAGATCCAAAAGAGGGACTTCTGGTCAAGATGATGGCATGGGTAAAATGCGATTTTCACTTCTTCCCACAACCACATAAAACTACAACTAAAATACAAATCAATCATCATTCAGAACTGCCTATAATTTGGCTGAATGGAAGTCTTACAACTAGAGAAGTAAAGAAGAAGCCACATGGAGACTGGTAGGAGGGGAGAAGAAGCAGAACAGGCTGGTCCCACATTCACATGTGGCAGATAAAAATCAGGAGGGATATGTCCACTGCAGAAGTCCCACCTGAAGAGAGAGGGGTCCCAACGCCATACCAGGCCTCCCATCCCAAGGTTCTAGTGCCAGGAAGAAAAGTCCCCATAATTTCTGGCTGTAAAATGCCAGCAGGGATGAGGAAGAACAAGGGCTGCTGGAGTCCCAGGCAGTTCCTTTTAAAGGCCTGTGCACAGACTTACTCCCTCAGCACTGGGGCAGAAGCTTAAAAAGCACTAGAGACAAATGGGGAGTCTGGTATCAGGGCAAGGAATGGGGAAGGGTGAGCTTTATCCCAAACAGAAGTGCTGGCAGAGGCCATTGTTTCTTTGATAAGCTGTTCACCCCCTTTACCCCTACAGAGCTAGCAGATGACCTCCAATCTGAGATTCCAACAACCTGGTTCACACTGTTTGCCCTGCCCTGGTGTTTCCCTGAGACGCAGCCCCACCCAACTTTGGGGCCCACCCAAGCAATTTCCAATGGCTTTTCCATATGAATGGCCTGTCTTGGCTCATGCCTTAGATTTTCCTAAAATCTCTCAAACAAGCAGCTTCTGGCCTCAGTGTGCCCTGTACCTCAAGCTAAGTAGCCCCAGGCCTGGCACTAATAGCAGCCAGCTTTTTCCCCAACTTGGCCTCACCTGGCACCTCCACGTCCAGCACAATTAGAGGCCATCTGCAGATCACATTGTAGCTTATGCCAGGTGGCCCCAGAAAGAACACAAGCAGTGACTGACCTTGGTCTGCACTTCCCCAGAGGCCCTAGACCCAGCACACTCAGTGAACAGACTTAATTTCTAAATTTTCTTGGAAAGAAAAATATTTTGGATTAAGACCATTTACCAAGCACCAAAAAGCCACTGGTATTCTTTTTCTAGACTGATACCTATTTTGATTTATACCTCATAATTTACAAGGAAGTGGAGCATCTGTGTGACTTACCCTATTAAAGCAGTGTTCGTGGTTGGGTCCATAAAAATGCTGAAGACATCTCACATTGTTTTTGTTGACGATCTTGTTGAAGAATTCATTGACATACTTGATAGGGAATGCACAGACGGCAGAGCGGTTCATCGGCTCGGCAGAATCTGGCTTGCTCTGGGCAAACACTCCATAGAGAATGTCATCATTCGGGTTGGCGCCTATCTGCCGTGCGAGATGGGCCCCAGGCTTACTGACATATGCAGCTTGAAGAATATTAAACACCTCCTCCCTTGGGGATCGCTTTCTTCTCTTTTCGGTGAGTATACACTCCAGAGGCATTTCCATGTAGGAATGCAATCCAGAGTCTACAGAACAGAACCTGATTATTCTTGTGTGGAAAGACTGGGCATTGAGAGTTTCCCGTTGGACTGTCAAAAAGTAAATGAAATCGTTGCTTTCAAAGGCGTGGACATACTTGATGGGGTAAGAGTCTCGGAACTCAGGTAGAACATCAATATAGGACTGGTCTGTCAGAAACTTAAAACCATCTTGAGTTTCCTTTAGCCTTCTCACCGATATCGAATGCAGGGAATAATCTGGAGGGTAGGAAGCGCTGATGGTATTGCCCACGAAGAAGTTGATGAACCGCTGCTTCACAGACATCAGGACCTTGGTTCCCAGGGCACTCACCACACAGTCGGGACACTGGCTGGGCTCTTCGTCTGCCTGTGGGGAGTACATGCAGTGCACCTCGGACTGGATGTCCGCAGGATCCAAGGCAGGAAGGACGTGTCGCTGGCAGGTCCCCCTGCGAACGCTGCCACAGCTAATGAGCTGGTCATCATAGTACGTGTCCACCAGCAGAGCCATGTTGACGTTATCTTTCCAGACGCCACCAGAAGCGTTGGCTTGGTGGCTGCAATCCTGACACGGGAAACAACCCGGGTGCTCCAGCACCGGCCCCGTCTGGTACTCAGCCACCTTCTGCAGGTCTCTGTCGTTTAAAACGTAAATGTGGTTAATGGTACCGAGGTAAATGTGATTCTTGTGTAGAGCGACGTTCTGGATGGGCGTCTCCGCGGTGAAGTTGGGAAGCTGATACTTCATGTTCACATTCATCTCCGACTTCGCCAGGGCCTCCTGGCACTCCCCATCACTCTTCCGCACCAAGGTGACCAGAAGCACAAGGATGCCACGTGCAAGCACAGTAGGGGCCTTCATGGTAGAGCTTATCTGCCAAAACACACACAAGGAGAGAGCGATTGTCATTAGGAACAAAGAAGATATGTAAAGAACTATACCAGGGAAGCTATCAGAAACAAAGCTTCCTTACTGAAGATTTTACATCGGGTGAAAACAAAACCTCTAGCTGGTTTCACATAAAGATGCATTGTGCCAGTGGACATGACTCCACATAGTTAATTTGAGAACTCAAGCCAGAATGAGTAATTTTAGAGACCCATTTATGAGACGCAAACAATGTTCTGTATTAAGAATGATAGTGCAACCAAGTTAGACTCATTCGGCAATGAAGTCAGAAACAGAAGAAATGTCTTTCTTAACCCTTTGCTGTTTGTTTAATGTGGTTTAATATCTGTGGTTAATGACTAGGTTGATATTCAAAATTTTCAGTCAAGTAAAGGAATTGTGGTTCAGATGCATTTATTCTAAGAAATCACAGCAGGCATTGTTTCCTTGGGAGCATGTAGAGTTACAAGGCTAAAATTAGCTTCCTTTTGGAACAAAACAATCATAAATTCTAGAAGCAAATGGTCACATGCTGTTTATAATAGGATTTTGTGTGCAGATGAAAGGTATGGTTATAATTCAGCTATAGTTAACCTATTGTTTTGGATAGACAAATGCTTAACTTAATGTAAGGTCATGGGAACATAAAAACAGTAAGCTGAAACTGTATAAAATAAAATTAACCTTCAGGACTAAAGTCCTAGAATTATTTCACAGGGAAAAACAGTATTTTGTTTATTACCAAGTCAAAAGCTATTTAGTAAAAAGAACATTTTTTTAACATTCTGTGTTATGCATATGAATAATATTTTCTACTAGGAAGCAGAGTGGATTTATGGTTCAGTTTTTAAAATTTTCATGTACACAAGTTATAAACATTGCAAATTCTACTTATAATAATTATAGATGAGTAGTAGGCTGGAAGGATAGGCATTAAAATAAATAGAAACTAAACAGCCCTTATTTATTTCCCCTTTTTAATGCATAAATCTGACAGACAATGGAGCATCTAAAACATACTAGATATTATAATGATTCTGAAGTCTACCCATGGGCCTACAAAAATCACAACAGAATTCATGCTTGCACTATGGGAAATGGGAGATGGCCCCTACCCTTCAGTGAACCTACTATGTGGTTGAGAGATAACACACATATGCAAATAACTCTGATACCTGGCATTATAATACCCTGCATATCACAAACCAAATGCTAAAAGCATCAAGAGAGGGAGGCATGGCCTATACGCAGGACTGCTATGATTGTGAGAAATAGAGACATGTCTAAGTGTTATAAGGTTCAGAAGAAAAAGTACAAGTCTGTTTGGCTCATCACTATATCCCAAGTACCTGGCACCGAGTCTAGAACGCAGTAGATATTAAATAAATACACGTTGAATAAAAATTAAGCGATAAGTTCAAAGTCACAGAAAAGGTAAATATAGTAGCCAGAACTTAAGTCCAAATATTTTGGACTAAAAAAAATCAAAGTAACTGTACTCTACTAAATTTTATAGGAATTGGGGTTTTATTTAAGAGGTAATAGAAAGTCATTGAAGGGTTTTGGGCGGTAGAGCCATATAACCCAGGTTTTACTCTAGGAGGACTGATCTGGAGGCAAGGTGATTTAGAGCAAGGTGGGAGAAGCTGGCAGCAGGAAGATCAGACAGCACACTATTCTAACAGCCCATAGCCAGGTAACAAGGGCCAGCCAAGATGGTGGCACCAAATAATAGAAAGGGATGAATGAGAGACATACATAAATACAACTGACACCTCGATTGGTGGAGTACAAAGGAGAAGGCAAAGATAATTAGTGTTTATCTGGAAAAAGTGGAACAAGTTATAAAACTAGTGTAGTCAGTAGGAGGAAGTTGAGTTGAAGACAGAGGGATATAACAAGTTGGGTTTAAAATGGTGATTTTGATATGATTTTGATTTTGGGAAATGTATGAAAATATTCTAATATAGAATATATTTGACTGGTATGTTTTTAAATTGCTCATCAGGAAGTAGGTGTCCAGATTAAGTGAAGAATGAAGATTCCAAGCAGACAGAGCATTTGTGTCAAACAGTAGAGGAGATTAAGGAAAGGATTGTGAGGAGGAGCCTGCCCTCACTGGGAAATAGGCACCATTGGTCTTCTGTGAGACAATATCCATCTTGGGTGAGACAGTGGCAAATGGAAGCTTGAGTGCCAAGTATCTGCCATCTCTGCATCAGAAAAAAAAAGAATATTCAGAACTCAACCTTGCTGGACTAACTGGGATGCTAGTTTGACTACAAAGAAACTTTGTGTGCTATCTGAGCAGACCAAGAGTCTATGCTCATGGGGAGATAAGGTGAAAGAAGAGAAGACAAATGAACCAAATCTTGGGAAAAAACAGTGAAGGAGTTAATAAAGGTAAGTTTAGTGAGGCATCAAGCAAACCTATATTTCATAGTCACAGAAGCCAGGCCAGGTGAGAGGCTTGAGAAGGAGGATGTGGTCCACACGTAAGCTCTTCAGGAACCTTCATGAGAAGTTTTTCAATAGATTCAATAGTGGTGCTGGACACTAACTTGCAAGGGAATGTGTGGTGTGGAAATAGAATGTTTGTTAAAGGAATGCAAGAGGAAGGCAATACCAGAGTAAAGAGGGGTTTATCCTTAAATTGTAGAAAAGACACATGCTTATTTGTAGATCTTCCTTCCACTAAGATGTATTGTTGTCTACTAAGGGTTAAGCAGGATAGCAGAGCTGGGAATTCAGACATGGGGCCTCTCCCTAGGAAGCTCATGGTCACGTGGTGGAGGCATGGGTGATGGTGATATAGATGGTGATGGGGAGGTGTAGGAAGGGCAGCCATCCTGGACGTAATGCTAGAGCTGAGGCATGAAGGAGGATAAAGAATGGAAATTCCTAGGAGGCAGAACAGATTGTGCAAAGATATAGAGGCAGAGGGGAGCACATGGCCTAGTCAGGAGCATCTGGAGAGGTGGGAAAATCAAAGAGGGCAAATGAGGGAGAGAGAAATTGTTGGAGCAACATTCCAAAGGAACAAAAAGAGGCATTTTCAAGAGCCCTGGAACATAAGACAAGTCACTCAGAGACAGAGGAGAGGTTCAGAAATCAGATGAAGCATAGGGACACTAAAGGAGTTCAGGGCACATGATCTCAAGCCTTAACAAATAAATTACAGTATATGACCATCAGCTGAAAGTGATGAAGACAGCGGGCTTAGGGACTTCAGGGTGGAGGAGGAGGAGATTTAGAATAGCGACAGTAGGGGATGCAAACTGAGATCAGCAAGAAATGAGAGAAAAGATTGCTTAGTAGTTCTGAGTACTCCTTTGAGAGAAAATATAATGTATTATGACTTCCTCTTCATGTTCATGAAAGATATGGAAGAAACCTAAGGCAGAAGGTAAGGACACAATGATTTCAGGGTCCAAATGAAGGCACTTGATTAGGTGTAGAGGCTTTGAAGGCTAGGAAACTAGTTAGTCCAAAGGGCAAAACAAGTGGAACAGAAATCATATAATAAAAATAACATGTTGAGTGCTTATCATATGCCAGGCATTCTGCCTAAACCATCTGAATTATTCTTTATAAACATCCTGTAAAGCAGGAAGTGTTATTATTCTCCTCTTTTAGGTGAGCAAACACGCCAAAAGTAACACAGTTAGAATCAGATTCAATCCCATGTCTGGCTGATAGGAATCTGTCCAGACTCTTAAATGCTTCACTAACACTGAAGTGGCTTCCCTTAATAAGCAGAAGTTAGACAATCAGAGCTCTGGTGATAGCCCTTACCCTCTCTAGCTGTGTGCTTTCAGGCAATTCATCTACCTCTTAAATGTCAGGGTTTAATATCTTCACATCATTGTCTATAATAATAAAAGTGTAATATGATAATTAGACCAGACAGCCATATGACCTTCTGGAGGTCCTTCCGGATGACCTTCTAGATGAAGCTGGGGCTGTGAGGGCTGAGCCCCTTGCACAGATTTTGTGCATTGGGCCTCTAGTCTATATATATGTAAAAGCCTAAGTGACCAACTGACGACTGTCCAGTAGCTATGACATGTAATGACCACCAAAGGGCAGATGCTCAACACACAGGCATGGAAACATGGAACAGGCTGATGAATCTCAGAGAGAAGGGGGAGGGGAAAGGATGGGAAGGAATTAACCAAAAATCTTATATGCATGATAGAGGCCCAGTGCACAGATTCATGCACTGGTGGGTCCCTCACCTGGCCTGCGGGGATAGGGCCGAAACCGGCAGTCTGACATCCTCTGAGGGGTCTCAGATTGCAAGAAGGCGCAGGCTAGGCCGAGGGACCCCACTGGTGCACAAAATTGTGCCCTGGGCCTCTGGTTTTAAATAAAAAGAGATTTCATCTTTGAAAGCACTTTGTTATATAGTGTATATAACAACCAAGAGAGGGTGTTTACTTGCTATTTTTATGTATAGTTCTCATTGTTTTGAAATGAACACATTCCCTTGCAATTTAGTGTCAAATATCACTAGAAATTTTTTAGCACTGATGGGGGGGGGGGAATGACAAGCAGTAGGAAAAAAAAGAATTTGGGGCAAGTTGTTCTTTTAGAAGATAACTATAAACTGTAAACAAACAGAAAATGTACATCTAAACCTTCTAGACTACATTAGGCAGAAAAATTAAATGCACTTCTCAATATGGTATTGTTATATCTTTAAAATTGGAAGCATCAGCCAAATATTTTATTTCTCACCATATTTTCTATAGGAAAAAATAATAAGAAAATAAATGAACTATTACTGTCAAAAGAAAAAAGAAGGCAAAACAACTAATATGCATCTTAGTTAATGTCCATTAATGCAGTGCAGAAAAAGAGTAACTTTATTTTTTTCTTCCAGGTTTGCTGAAGGAGCCTTCAAAATGATCTTTATAAAAAAACTAGTAGCTCAGCACACGAATTTGTGCACATTGAAAGGAAATTAATTAGAAGAAATATTT